AAAGTTTCAATTAAAGAACAGTCCTTTATAAAAGAACATTTACCTGTAGTCTTTGGCCAGTATTTTTGGTGTAGGGCCACTTAGGTTATTGAATGATAAATCCCTGCAGAACACCAATAACAGATTACTGAATGCTGCTTAGATATTGAGAAATTCTAAATAACAAAAATTTAAAGAAGATTATACAAGAATGTAAGCCCTGTAAGGTCAGCCACAGGTTTAGGAATTTGTCCGGACAATTTGTTTCTACTAAGCCTCCTGAAAAGTTGCCATACAAAAGGATTAGAAGAACTAGCAAATAAAGCAAATCTAAAATGTTAAACTTAGATATTAGCCACACTCACAAGTAACTTAATCTTGTCAGGTAACCTAAAGAGCTCGGAATATCCCCAACAAACTGGTTTGCAGACAAGTCAAGGGTCTGCAATTCTGAAAGCTTTCCAATCTCAGCAGGTATATATCCTGATAAATGATTATTCTGCAATAACCTAGAAAAATAACAATTAAAAGCAGAAGTTTCAGCCAATGCCATCTCTAGAGATTGTAAATAACCAATTTCATCACATTTTTCCAGGAAGGTAAAAATTTCCAACAATATTGCAAGAAATTGGAGGCTTGGAGCTGTACACCCATTCACCCAATACGACCTTCATTTTTCCTGCCTCCTATCCAAAGTTTAAGTAGAAAGACCATCAACTACTTGATTGGACAAAGGAGGTGGAAGCAAATCAAACCGAACTGGCAAAAGGAATGAATTTTATTTCCTGTGTCCTGCGGCCAACTGGTGAATACTCCCGTGGCTCACTCTTTTGCATCTCTATAGAGGCAAAAAGCCTTATTAGACAACAACATCTCGTATCATCTTCATTGAGTGTATCAATTAGTTTTCCAATTACAGAACCGTAGATCAACATAATCCTAAGACGGAACACAATGTGTATCATGCAAAGTCAATTAACTAGAGAAGAATCCAGGTTTAACAATATAACTGTATAAACATCAATTCATTAAGGTGCATTTAGTTAAAGAAAAAGAAATATTTTTTCAAACCTAAAACTAATAGAGGCTGAACTTACATTGTCTGAAGGTGACTTAAGTTTCCAATACTTGGTGAAAGTGTACCTGATAATCCCACACTAACCATTTCACTGCAAACCACAACAGCAAAGATAAGAAACTGGGAGCGAAGAACAAGAACAAACTCAGAAGAAAAACTGAATTTAGTAAATGGTCCGCTATTATCAATTCAATTACCAATATAGCACAATAGAACAGGAAACTAAAGGCAAATATTGAAGTTTTATACTGACTTACAGAGACACAACAAAGCCTTCTGGAGAGCAACCAACCATATTCCAAGTACAAGGGTCAACAGAGTTAATATCCCATCCATCTAAGACATGATTATCATCTCTCATTTTACCCTTTATAGACATCAGTGCAGCCACTGCACAAGAATTCAAGACTTGGCATTTTTAGGACTTCATTTAAGATAAAGAAATTAAACATGCAGAGTAAACGAAATGTAGAACTAACCTTCATAATTAACACCCTTTGGGGAAAGAAGACTAGTGGAGACACTGACTCGGGCAGTCCAAAAGAGGAAGAGTGAGAAAACCAGCATCCCATTTCTCATTGGATGCATTGCAACTGAAGCCTAAGCACCTAAACAGTATCAGAAAGATTTGCTGCAGAAAAACTGCTGCCCTCCTGCTTGGTTGACATTAAAGTATTGGTTTCAGTAGGTTAGTAAATGTTAGACTTGAGAGTCAAAAGGACGACTGTAGAAGTTCACAGCAAACGTATACACAAAAGACTTCCCAGTACTTGAATATTTGGTTGCTGTTAAGAGAGAGAAAACAAACAAAGGACAAGGTTAAAGGTTTTGATTGGGAAGGTTCAGAGGCAGCTTTTTGTCAGTTATAATCTAACGCTGATTATATTCAATCTCTGGCAAGTCAATGCACTACAAAACAATATAACATTTATGGCTTCTTTGGCACAACTTGTAGGCTCTAGTTTTAACATTTCTTGTATTTCTTGTATGGTTTCGTACCAAGTTACACTATAGCGGTCAATCTACGGTTCAAATCAGATTGCAGTTGTCATGACTGGAATTGAATTGCTGAAATTACTTTATTCACAATGGTAACCGAATGGCTTCCCCAATTCGTCTCCATAATTGAATTTGCAATTGCGGAGATTGCATTGCGAGTTCAATTGTGGAGTTGGGATTAAAACATTTGCATCTGGAAATACTAAACTTGGTTGCCCTTCCTAAACGCAAACCCTTAACAAGTTTTAATATTAATTTTACAAGTATTCTACGTTAATAGTGCAAATTATTATTATTATTATTATTTTTGTAAAAAGCCAGTTTCATTAATGAATTGGTAGAAATCATCCAATATGATTTGATTTATATCATTACCATTAAACATGGACCAAAAATAACCCATATAAAAAAATTGAAAATTTTTTGAACAAATCTGGAAAATACAAGTTATTAATAAATACATCAAAGGCATGGATTTAAAATGTAGATTAGTGAATTTAGTCCCTGTAACCAATTGTTTAGTCAACAACTTTCTTTATCTCACAAGTTTATTAGTACAAGAATATCATTATTGCTTCTCTTTATTCCATAGTACAAATCTAATGATTCAAATACTTAAAGGTGCTACAAATGAAATCAAAAAATGGACAAAATGCAAGTATGAACAACTTTATAAAGGTGAATAAAGTGCAATTAACCCTTTGTGGCGTAAGTAAATAGCTTGTTGTATTCATTTGTTGATACACTTCTTACACATCTAATTTTATACACATGTGATGGATTTTTTCTCCATAAAATTTGCCCTTTATCTCCCTTTTAATTTTTTTAATACTTTTGAGCAGGGTTTTTTTTAATATAAAAAGTTGAGATTGGGTCCATTTAAATTGGAAAAAGGACATTAAGATTTCAATATCCAGTAGTGGATTTTGCACAACTATATATTGTTTATATGTTGCTCTAAATTAGAGCCAAGTAATCAACATTATTAAATTATAATTTTGGGGTATCTAGCACCCTAGGATAGCTACAAGCAGACCACATAATACTTGAATCAATAAATGAATAGTGAAAACTTCATTGAAGTGGCTGTAAAATATTTGAAGTGGATTCAATATTAAATTCTAATATCGCCAAAATGGTCTTGAGATTTGGAAATGTCACAAATGGTCCCCTTGTCTTCAGTAGTTGTATTCGAGGACAGCTTGTAATGATCAATAAACAACCGGATTGGAGTTCAATGCTGTAGGACATGATGAGCCATTGTGCCAAGGGGCAGTGGGCAAAAACTTGCTATCACAAGATTTTGTTTTCTCTTGTTACTTACGAAAGGTAAAACAAAAAATTTGGCCCTTTTCTTGGTCTTAAAAGAAAAATTGTTGTTAGGAATGTAAATGAGTCTAATTAAGTTGAATATTCCAATGTTCAACCTTATTTGTATATTGATGAGTTTAAAACTATGCAAACTTTGCTTGTTTCATTATCAAGTCAAATTTAGACGAACTTTTGTCAAGCGAAACTCAAGTGACTTGAATATTTTACATCTAAAATTCAAATGTTATGCTAAGTAAACCAAATTTGAACCGAGTTTAAAATTCTATAAAACACAAAAGAGCTGTTCATATATAATTTAATAAATTGGCGAATAGGTTAATTCGACTATGAGTCCCTTAATTTGCCTTTTCATCTGATTGCAGTGAAAATGTATAACTAAAGCATGTTGATGGAATTCTTGTGTCAGTCGTCGACATGATTAGGCAATAAACTCTTCACATGATCCAGGAAAAGGACTAATAGGAGGGAAATTCTCTCTTAACGAGTGCTCATTTATTTGGCATTTGTAAACCAAGTCAAATTGTATAATATGTTTCTAAATAAACCATTGTTGTCACTTGTCATCAGCAACTTATTCGAGTTTCTAAACTTGGATTTAGTACTACAACTAGGATTATTATTGGCTATATCTTTTTCAAGCAAAAGAAAAATAGAGTTCTTAAAAAAAAAAACACTAGTTTAAGGATAGGATGAGATGACACTAAATAAAATAATTGAAAAATCTTAAAAAATACACTACAAAATAAGAGATGTCAATGGCTTGGTATAAAAAACCAAAAGAAGTATCTCCGAAATTATGATAAACTCACTTGGAATCCGTTTGTAATCAACTATTTAGAAGAAAAGTATATTAAGTAGTACTCTAGAGGAGGAATGGGTGGACGGTTTCGGGGAGAAAATGCTAAGTGAGAGATAATTGGATAGGGTATTATTTGAAATATTATTTGGAATAATTATTATAACACTTTTTGCGATATGATGTATGTGAGATACAAAAGTGATTGGAAATATAAAAAGATTGATTGAAAAATGTGTTTATAATGCAAGTGAAATATTATTTTGAATAATTTTACTATCCTAATGAATTCAAACTGAAAAAAAAAACTTAAATTATAATTTTTTCCATTAAGGATGATGATGACACTCTATCAGTCAATTATTTAAAGGTTTTGTCGCCGCCCACAACTGCTGGCAAATGTAATTGGACGAAGAACCAGTCTTTGTCGGTTTATTTGACTATTCCAGGAATTAGACCCCAGCAATCATTATTTAGTGTTCCCTCTTTTTTTTCCTTATTCTATTCTATCTACAAGTTGAGTTATACTAGTAAATTACAATTACCTCCCCGAGTCTGGTACAAATTAAAGATTATTCCCTTAAGTTTAGCATAATTGTAATTACAATTTCCTCTGTTGTCAATAGCTTAGATCTCTGAGTCCTCTGAGCTTGCGAAAGTCGCTGCTTTATGCCTTAATCTGGCATTCTGACTTGTGTAATCAAATTGCATCAAGAAAGTATGAGAATTGAGTGGTAAAATGAAAATGCAGACTTCTTGTCAGTGCCTCTTTTCCTAACTTGTAAGCTGAGATAATTGGAGAGTAAAGAAGGAAGAAAGGAAACAATAAAGATACATTACTTCACAAGAGTAACATCTTTTGCTACAATGTAGTTTTTATCGATTACAAACACTAAATACAGCAACTCAGAATCAAAAATCAACAATCAATCCAGCTAATTACTACCCCACTGTTCTTTAGAGGGCTAGCTGCCTACTTAAATACCTCATTTGCTGAAAACCTGGCTTCTAAGTAACAACAACTGAACATGTACAACAATTACGTGCTTAACTCGGGGGGATATTCGCTTAAAAATAGCGAGAAGAAGAAACTCGAAAAGGAGAAAGAGAAACAATTCTTGAGGAGCCCTCCAGCTTCCTTAGTCTGTACTTGGCGCAACATCAAAGAGATGCCTGTGTTCAGGCAAAAACTTTGGCGTAGAGATCACTTGTACCCCTTCATATTCACCCAACAAGTAGAACCTCGACTCATGTCCCGGTGGGATGCATTAATTGTATACCCATTTGCCTTTTTATGTGGTCTGGTACCAACCTGTTTATAAGATCTGGATGGGCTCCAGACAACTGTACAACAGGCGGTAAGGTCAACACTGGAATAATTAAACTAGCAATTGGAGTAAATATAGTATTTGCATAGAATCAGATAACCATTTAGTTACATTTCTCTTCCCAACACCCCCCCCCCCCCCAAAACAAAAAAATTTACGAGTCACACAACATCATTGGGGTCCCATGCCCCCATTCACAACAAAAACAATAACCAGAAAATAGGATACAGAACTCAGGAGAGGTTTCAGAGAATTTAGATATATCATGACAAACATCTTGAATGATGAAAAAGAATCGGCTTCTGAAGTTCCATGCTGGTTTAGATAATGTAATCTAAGTAGTTCTTAAAATTCATTATTTCTTGTGCCACTTGATTTAGGTGGCATGGATGAACTATGTAACTTGAAAAATTAAATGCAATTAAACTTATTAACTGATACCAGTTAATACAAAAGTTCAACCCTTTAGGAGGCCACTAGCATAGGCGGCATAGCAGGGTGTACTTCAGTCTAACAGAAGCACATAATGCTTACATAATGTCAACTGAGCTTAGTGACCTGTTTGAAGCCCATGCATTTTTTTTTTTTTTATTTTATTCTTTTGGTTCAAGGATAGATTCCAAGCTTTACGAAGGGGACAAACTCTTGTATTTGACAAGACTTAGTGAGATATATTATACAAACTCAGTTATCCTAACTTCAACTGACTTCATAACATTCCCCTACGCAAGTTCTGTAGGAAATTGAGACTCTTTGAATGGCATATATCTCTCAGTGCACGGCATATGGTACAAGCAAAGTTATGAGGAACAATTGTTTACGGTAACAGAAAGGACATAATGCACTCTATTAGATGTCTCCAACCTCAGAAAAGGCTAAGTCACCATTATTTACACCCAGTAACATGCGATCTTGCATTTCACCTTAACATTCACATTTTCTGAGACATGGTAAAAGTGCCAAATTTGCTTCAAAATGGCACATGAGCTATCATACTATTTAGAATTTTCAGCCAACCAGAAGTCAACTGAAATGTAAATTAAGCGCCTTTAAGTTTGGTCCGTCCTAAAGTGATTTTTCCAGAAACACGTTAAAAAAAATCCCTTATAGAAGTAAATTAAAGGAGTGTATAAAATTCATTTGACCAATAACCTCAGGAAACTAACAAACAACACAATGTTCGTAAAAATCTCAAAAAGCAGCAAGATTTTCGTTGTATGGAATGATCACTCCTTTCCCAAAAATCCTGCAAGATTTTGCAATTGGTATTGGCACTGTCATGCAAACATTTGAACCTGACCTTTGCTCAGCACTTAAATAAACAGCAAGAACAAGTACTCAGGATACACCTTATAAGTTTAAACTAATAAAAGGAAGCCACAGGAACAAAGAATCAAGCTTTACTTTATCCAGAAGAAATACCTCTTGTTTAAAGTTGAACAGCTGCGGCAGATGACGTCCATTTGGTAATCGGGTATTAGGATCACGCAGTTCATCAAAGAAAGAATGTGCACATGCTTCTAGCTGCAAACAAAAGCAGCCTAATAAAAATGTGATTAATAAGTTACATGGATGCTCAGGGGTGTACATTTTGGTTCAAAATACTGCTAAGCGTGTAGTTTTTATCAGCCAAAAATATGTGTGATGCAATCAGCACGGACAAGGTAGCAATGAAAAACGGAAGGACACAGCCAATGATATTATACTACATTCTAATAAGTATAATGCAAGACATTGCTTGCAGTAAATGCTGATACTACAGAAAGAAAACTGAAACTCACAGCAGTGCAACGAAGACTTGGCGAATACTGCAACAGTCGTGACGCAAGGTCTATTGCTTCAGGAGGCATCCTTTTGTGGAAAACCTGATATGCCAATAAAACAATAAAATGGTAGACATGAAACAAAATCTGCCAAAGCAGAAAAAGAATAGGTAAATGTCAAAATTTGCAACATAGGGTGACGTGTCACACGAGCATTTGTGCATCCACAACAACATACCAGAATTTTTGGCCTTTCACAAACACTCACTAATTTGTAACCCATGGACGATTTTTTGCACTTCAATGTAGGAGTTCACATAGTAGAAAAATAGGTCTCTCTCTCTCTCTCATTTGTCTTTCCATCCAGAGTAAGGCCTACCTATCTCTTTCTCTCATTTATCTCTCTATTAAGAGTCAGGCCTACTTCCATATAAGGCCCAAATACCAACCAAAAGGCCAACTAGAGAGGACTACATTAATGAGTACATAGTTAACATGAAGAATCTATTTTTGGTTCTTTTTGAGTGGCTGTTGGCAAGTATAATCTATTTTTGCTTTGATATGCTTTTTATTGGTCTCTTAAAAGCATAATCTGTTTGACTTAACCAAATTTTGTATCCTGTATTATCTAAAGGCACGACAGCATTGTCAGACACCATAAGAAGTAATATATCGTGTGCTAATAGAACACAAATTTAATAACTGTTTATCTTAATCACCAATGATGCTATAAATAGTATTTTATCATACTCTTAACACACACACACATACACACACAAAAAAGGGGTCAATTAATTCATTAACACATTGGAGGCTTTGCTGATTGCATAAGCTCATCATGCACCTTCATGTAACAGGTAATCACCCTACTTCTCAGTGTCTTTGGAATAATTCTGATCAGCCTCTTTTTCATGGATAGAGATCATCATGAATGTAAGGCCTTCTATATTATTTTCTTCATGCTGATATTCATCAAATAAAAAAAAGTGGAAGAATATGCCACATAAAAGCTTAGTTATGTTCAAGCAACATAATTTGAAAGGCAAACAAAATCTCTGCAGCATTATATAACCACTCCCATTTACCAGAAGCAGAGAAAAGCAAAGACTAGAATGTACACTACATATGCACAATTTGAAACACGAGTAAAGAAGCAAAGGTACCCAGGACAAGGCTCCCCACACTTTGAGCTACAAAATGGAGAAAGAAAAACATTCCCTAACAGAAGAACATATTTTACTAGCAAGATCCAGAGACTAGCTTCACAGTGGAATTCGAGAAAAAAAGACTATTCTGGTGCCCCAAAAAAATAAATTACAGAGCAAAGCTAACCTTGTGCCATGGGTGTGCCTTAATTTGAGGAAACCTAAAATCAGTATAATTTGGATTCATACAACGAATTTCTTCTCGAGTTGGTGTACCAAGAACCTGAAAGTAAACCACATTAGACCAATACACAAGCACAATCAGTTTCTTGCAAGTTCTGACTTCATCTTACATAAAATGTACCTTTATAATCTCCACCAACTGGTCAACGGCATTCTCTCCGGGAAATAGTGGCTGCAAGTATATCAGATCATGAGTCAATTAAATATCACAATATAAAGGACCAAAAAAGAAAAAGTATTAAAAAAATCCCGAAAGGGAAATGGCAAATAACCTGTCCCAAAAGAAGCTCGGCAAGGACACATCCAGCTGACCAGATATCAATGGAGGATGTATACTCTGTGGCCCCAAATATGAGTTCCGGAGCACGATAAAACCTTGAGCAAATGTACGAGATATTTGCTTCACCCTTCACCTGATGTAGGTTAATAATCACAAAAAGATGAGCACACTCATTAACAGGAATCAAAAAGGTCCATAAATTTACATGAGCAGCACAGCTCCTTTAATAAGCCTAAAACTTTCATAATGGAACACTGGGAAAAACGTCATCAACAACAAACTATTACATATTGGAAACAGTAGTGGACTAAACTCCTATAAATAAATACATACAGAAGTATATAAATACAACAGATTATCCACACATGAATATGTAGTTACCATAAAAGTGACGCATTATGTTCTTTACTTGTTCTTTTACAAAGGGTTGTTATCAGATCACTTATAGCACATATAAATTGACGTTCTGCAAATTTTTGGAGCAAAAAAAAAAATTTTTTTAAGTATCAGTGGGGGCATATCTATTAATTTCTAAGCTAAACAATTGTTTATTGAATTTCTATATGTAAAATTGAAGGTTTCCTTTGGCCAACGGGGGCAGGTGCCCCCACAGGCCATAATCTAGATCTGCCCCTGGATGCTGGACTGTTTAACAGAAGACTCAGCTGATGCATAAGTATGAAATAAGGTTCTAAAGACGCTCACAGTACATCAACATGCAATAGGTTATGAGGAACTTAGCTTCAGCAGCCAAAAATTTATGTACCAATGTAGCGTATCAGTACATTTCAACCAAAGACAGAAGAACTTGACAAAGAAACAGCAAAGCAAAGGGCAAAGGAAAGAACACTGAAATTATAGGATTTGCACTTACTAGCACTTTCGCACTTCCAAAATCACAAATCTTCACTTGGTGACTAAGAGGATCAACCTGAAAAGACAAGCAATGACTGTCAAGGAAAGGAACAAAGAAAAAGAAACAAGCACACTGAAGTCGAACATGAAGACAAGATATACCAAAACGTTTTGGGGCTTCAAGTCTCTATGGCATACTCCAGCAACATTATGCAAATAAGCTAGACCTCTGAAAATCTGAAAAACAACTACAAATTTAGCTTCACTCAAGCACTACAGAACCCTGCAAATATACTAGCACGGAAGCAACCCACATACTTGGTAGGTGTACAGTTTAACATAAATCAGTGGCATCGTCTGGTTGATGTTGCTATAATGCTTTAGAACCCGATACATTGACTCAGGGACATACTCCATTACTAAATTGAGAAAAAGCTCATCTTTACTAGTAGTTGAAAAAAAACAATGCTTTAGAGACACCACATTTGGGTGATCCATTGTGCGCATTAACTGCAATTCACGATTCTTGTATCTCCTGTCCTGTAAAACCTTCTTTATAGCCACAGTTTCTCCAGTTTCCAGACATTTTGCCTACATGAGCATGCATAACCCCAGAAATTAAAGCAAAAGATTAACAAATGAAAGATTAGTATAATTTTGTAATCCACATACCTGGAAAACAATTCCAAAAGATCCAGTCCCCACAACCCTCTCTGCCATGTAACTAACAGTCTGCAAAATGAATCAAGCAGTGGAAACAAGTTTTCAATAATCTCTTGAGCAAAATTGATCAGATCATGTCAAAGTCTTACGTAGTTATCCAACAAGTAATATGATTAATCAACAATTCCAAAAAATGCAAAGCAGAGTTGGCAAAGCTAATATTGGACATACAGAAAATGCAGCCTCAGTGCTACGGAATGAAAATAGGCAACATCAACAAATGCAATTGCAACCAGTTAATAAGCAAACAAGAACCACAATTCTACCTGCTTGGGTTCTCCATTCTTGCCCCCAATAGTCGTTGAGATTATGTGACCAGTAACTGTATCATGACCATCCATAATAGGAGCAGACATTTCCTGCCACAAGTATGAAACCAAGATGCTAGTAAGAGCAGTTTTGAAGTACACAAATTTTAAGCAACAATACAGTTCAAAACACTAGCTTCTACCCCAAGAAGGTAACATAACTAAATGACACATCAAAAACAACATATAAACAATTAAACAAAAATTACAAACAACCTAAAGTATGCTGATTAGAGGTGACACTTCAGGAATTGTAGCATTACAATTTTGGAATAAAAAAGTCTAATCAAAGGATAGACTATACAAAATCAACACAAGTCAAAAATAGGGAAAAGAATCACTTGAATGATACTATGAGATCCAATGAATATGTTAAAAAGATCAAATATCAACCTTTTGGAATCAAGGCTCACTCTAGCACCTCTGCCACAACTACCTCCCCCTACCCCCGGGGGCCCAAAAATAGACCAAAAAAAGCAACTAAAACAGTACCCAGAGACAAAGGTCAGCTGGGATCAGATCAAGAAAAGAACTAAAACAGTAAACTTTTAAGTAGAATACAGATCAAGCCCCTCTCTTGGCTATCCAGAAAATTGACCATAAACCAACTTCATTCACCTCGACAGACTTACTTAAAAAGAGGGATTTCCTCAGAAGGCACTAAAATTAACTTAAACTACAAATTTGAACCAAAATTTAGCTAATCAAACCATCAGTTTCTAAAAATAGGATCTTTTTTCCAAGTCAAGAGCTACATCATTCCAACAAAATTCAAGAAATCTAAACAAGAAGAAAAACCTTTGACTTAACTTGCTATAAAGTTAACTCCAAAAAAAAAATAAGGAAAAAAAAAACTCCACGACTCTGTAACTAATTATCAGCAGAAAGAAACAAGACTGAACATTTTGAAATTAAAAAAAAAAGAGAGAAAAAAAGTGAGAATGTGAATTGGAATGGTTACCTTATCGTTAGCCATGATTTTAGATCGGAAAAGGGAAAGGAGGAAAAAAGAAGAATAAATTGGGAAATATAATTGGTTTTTTTTGTTGCTATTGTTTAAAGCTCATAATTGTCGGTTGGAAGAAAGGAAAGAGAGGGAAAGGTCAGAGGACCCCATCAACCAAACAGCATCCCATGTGATTCCAGCTCTCTTCTTTTTGGTGTTTCTCCTCCTACAGCTTCTCTTCGGGAGTGAAAATGGGAAATTGTGAAAGCGCCCCAATATTATTAGGAAATTGAAGCATTGCCGGGATAAATCCTCTAGTATTCTTCAAGTAAATTCCTAGTTGGTTGTCATTCTGATATGCCAGAGGGTTTGAAACTCGGCTGAATTTTTCGTGTGAGAGTGTTTTCTCGTGTAATGTGTTGGGAAACACTTTTAAATATTTGAAATTTTAGTAACATAATAAAAATTAATAGTAATTTTTTTTTGTAAGCCATTATTGCAACGTACCTAATATTCAATAATGGGAATGAAGAATTAATGAGTCATTAGAATAAGTAAATGTCACGTTGAGACAAGAAAAGTAGAAAAAACAAACTCTTTCCTTGAAATATAGTTAAATTTTGAAAATGAAATCTTACTAATTGTACATAGCTTGGTCAAACTTAATTTAAAGTAAAGTATAATTATTTTCCATTAAATAGTTGAGCTCAAATCAAGTATATTATCACTTAAGTCCAACTGGGCTCAGTTGAAGTGTTATACTTTATTTTTCTTGAGAAGAAACCTTTTTTTTTACACTTTTAGCGTGTTTAATTAAAATGTACAGCTACTTATAAAGAGCTAAAATGAGATTAATCTTTTGAAACGAGTCAAGCATGGTCTTATGACATGATTACATGCTATGAGAGAACAAAAAGAAAAAAAATTGCGGAAATAGGCCCTCATATTTATGACCAATCATTCTTTAGTTACTGGCATAAACAATGATGCATTTTGGTCCCTAAAATAATTTATAACTCAAATTTTGGTCTCCAATCCCATTTCTGCATACTTTTTTGCTTGAGCAGTTGACAGCCTAAGAATATGCAAATAATTTAGGCAGAGAACTGCATTTTACTCTGGGTTTGTTTCAACAGAATGAAAAAAACATACATGAACTTGTCTAGATTGTGAGTTTTTGATGAAAAATGTTTGAAATATTCTCAAAACATATTTCTCAATTATTTTTTTTATTTCACACACATTACATTGCTATAGTATTTTTTTTTCCTATAAAACTCCTAAAAAATGCAATCAAAACAAGGCCAACTTTTTTTCCATTAAACATTATAATGGGTTAATGTAGCATAAGATATTTTTTGGAAAGGAAGTTCAAAATTCCCATAGCCCCCTCCTCGTCCAAAAAAAAAAAAAAAATCTGGGGAAGGGCGTCTTACTCCCTAGGCAAATCCTTTTATGTTTAAAGATAAATGCTACTTTATATATTATTCAATTTATCACAACATGAAAACATTAATGGGTTTGTTTGGATAATGAATTATTTGTTAAAATTTATTTACTTGCATCATCAACACATTTTTTAATCACCTTTTTATTTCACACACATCAAATCAAAAGAGTGCTACTGTATTTTTTTTTTTCAAAAAACTCCCAAATAATCTAATATCCAAAAACACTCAATAGTTTTGATAAAAAGAAAAATCTTGATGAAAATAACAAAAAATTAATTGAATTAAAATTTTCTCTTTGGCCTAATTATCAATTGGAAGATTTGGCTTGTATGAATCGTTATTGGTTTGATACCAATAATAACCTTTCTCAAAAATAATTTACTTTCAAAGGTTTTTATACCTAATAGATCTTGGCTTTTTTAAGTACATTACTTGCAATCTAAATTTATAAGTTAAGGCACATTTTTAACTCATTCTAACAGTTTTAATACCAAATATGTTACTTTCACAAAAAAAAACAAAAGAAAAAAAAAAGAGCGATTCTTTTGCTTATTGCTGCAGAGTAAAGAACATAAGAATATTAATTGTGCACTTATCAATCTTACAAATTTTAAAGTTGTTTCTTTCTTTTCTTATTCTAAAGATTTGAGAAAAAAATTGAAATTAATTGTTAGTTGAATTAGTTGTCTTTTGGAACGTTAATATTTGTCATATACAAAAAAAAAAAAAAATTCCACAGTTTTTAACCTTGTAGAACAAGATAAACATAAGTTTGAAGAACTTTTATTTGCTAATCAATACAGATTATATAAGGTAATCTTGTAGAATGCGATAAACTCAAGTTTGAAGAACTTTTATTTGCCAATCAATGCAGATGATATAAGGTGATATGCAACTCTTTTTTGTTTTTTTTTAAGTAGAAGAACTTGAACCGAAACCTCACACTTACACTTCTTCCCTCCAAATATTATGATGCACAAAGCTTCCTTTTAAGCAAACATAGATATAAAGAGTTTAAAAAAAATTATAACTTCAACTTGCATGAATTACTTATGATCCTTAATAGCAAGACAATACCTAATGTCGTTTATTGAGGTTGGATTTTCGCTTCCGCAATAGCGTTTATTTCTTCTCTCAATTCAGTCCCGCAAACAGTCTCTTTCCCAGATTTCACCTACTGATTAACTAGTTAGCGTTCTTTTAATTCATTCGACTTTGGGTTGTAAACATTCTTGTAACCATTATCACGCAATCGTTAGTTGTGGAATGCATAAACCTCTTGGGAGTTCGCTAATCGCACCAGCTGATGACGGAAAAATAAACTCCCCCAATTATCATTTAGGCTTTTCTAGTAGGACTTCTGGGAAGCTGGACTCGTTCCATTTACAGAAGATCACATCTCGGCCGGAATTTAGTATATTTCTGCACCGCTGTCAAGGCCCAAATGTATTCTATGAAACACTGTTGTACTTTAAGCTATGGTCAAGAAAGGCCAGCCTTTTTGAACTTGTGTCTGAAGACAAGCAGTGCTCCTTAAAAAAAAAAAAAAAAGCAGTGCTTTAATAAACAAATCGTTTTGCATTAATTAAATGTGTATTGGAACTGGTATAAAATATGATTTACGGAAAACATCTCTTTAGTATGGCCTCGCATGAGATCCCATCAGACCACTTTCAATTGTGAGTAAGAAAATGTAAAAACAATGGCCATTATAATAAGTTGTTTAATTTGAATAATATGCATGAAATGAATAATGCTACTATTATATGATAGGGAACTTGGGCCGTAAGCTCAACCAACTGGTGATAATATTGGAATCAATGTGTTGGGCTAAGCTCAACATACCTCAAGATAAAAAAATAAAAAAAAAAGTTTGAGTTTTCTTTGGATGGGCTGGACCAAGTTGAAAATGGTTCTTCAATGGGTAATTTTGACGGGAGGATTGTGTTGGTCCTTTCTGAAACGACCACCAAAGAGTTTGGTTTTGTGCGTTTGCGCTTACAGTATTGGCCACAAATGGTCTGGGACTTTTGGTAGTTGTCATGCTGTATTTGAAGCTGATTCCCTTTTGGCAATATATTTTGTTAACAACGCTTTAGCTAATCATACTTAATATAATCTTATATGTAAAAGATATGAGAAAATCGCAGATGGGATTGTACTCTTTCTTAATTCTAGAGAGAAGGCAAAACGTATGTGGATGTTTTGACGAAATTTAGTTAGAATTCACAACATGAAAACTTGTTGAGCATAAGTATGTGATTTGGCTTCGGCCTTCACTTCATTCGAAAAAAGAAGGTTCAGCCCTATGAATAAGACTTTCGGGCAACGTTTTGCTCTAAGTATGCGCATACCTTTGGCATAATATTGATGGAACGTTTAAAAGAATGAAGCCTAGTAGTCTAATGTTCAAAGAAGATTTCAGCCAAAAGTGTTGGGTTGAAGACTTTCTGCGTAAAGGAGCAATTCAGGTTGTAGACGCCAACTTGCTCAAGCCCGAGGTTGAGCATCTAAATAAGAAGTTGGAAAGACAAAAGAAATTTTTAACTACAATGTGAAGGATGAAACAAGTTATTTTCTCATGTTTATATTGACGTCAAAACAATTTCAGTATGTTACCAGTGCATCCAGTTTCATATTAACTGCAATTCCATATGGCATTCCATTCGGAATAATGGTATGCGCTGAGTTTCTATGTGAGGAAACAACTTCCTATCAAACCTCTGAAACTTGAGGGATGAAGTTCTGGGCTCTAGGCGGTATCAAATCCTACTGACTATTCCAGATTTTGGAGAAAAGAAAAAGTCCAACTAAGATACATTTACCACCAGATTATATCGTGTCAGTAATTGGCAATGGAGATTCCACTTTTATATGGTTCGAAAATTAATGGTACCCTCTGTTGCGGAAATATGGCCGTACTATAGTGAGGCAGTTTGGTAGTATTAAACTGCCAATGGGAAGAGGAAAGGGATGAGACTGTGTCTTTCTTCATTAAGCCAGCAATGGAATTGTTATGACCTGCCTTTATCATATGAGTTATGTGTAGAAATATCGATTGGATGCTAAAGACAGGTTGATAAGGTGGGGCGTCATTGCTGATCAGCGTTGTCCATTGTGTAACCGTTTGCTGATTTTTTCAATGCTCTTGTTCAGATATTTGTCAGTTAACCATCTTCCTTGGTTAGTTAACTATTTGTGTTCCACATCGAGACATTGTCCCAGAAATCAAGCTAATTTGCTTTATCTGCTACATTATGGCTGAGATAAAGTTCACAACTCACTTTCGGAGAAGACTTGGGACTCCAATTATTGAATGCTTGAAGCGTAATCTTGTGCAGACTTGGACTTGGACTTGGAATTTTCAATATGTGATAAAGAAAAGATGGATATCTTCTTCTCTTTTTTTTTGGAATAAAAATTAGTA